CCAATGGCCTCCTTCTAAAGTCGTATTTGAGAACCCTGTCTGAGCCGTACCGAAATCTCACTCCTTCCCAATCGCTCTCATTCAATCCGATGCGTCGAATGGTTGCAAATTCGGGAAACATCCTTATCACAGACTCAAGCATCACTCCCATCATCGAATCATCTGATCCAATGCACCCCAAAGACCACCCGAGGCGTGAGATATGCTGTTGCACGTAGAGCATCGTGTAAGACTTGCGTCGACACAGTGGGCTGAAGGGAAGAATTCTCTCATATGCCATTTGACTTTCCAGGCAAGTATGTTTGCCCTGCCCATATGCTTTAAATATCCTTTTGACGCCCCAAAAATTGTGTCCACATAGTACACGTAATAATCTTTTCCAGATAAGTGGTATATAGAATGAGAAACAAAACACGCCCCGCGCCACGCCATCCCAAATTACAAGTGAGGCCTGGACTTGACTCTCATTAGGTTTGATGGAGAAGCAAAAAAAATCAGCTCATGATGGCGGCATGGCACTCGGTCCCGATATTGGGCGTCTCCAAGTTCCCCTTGGTCTGGTTCCCCGGCTTGAGGTAGCAGTTGCCCGGCGCCTTGCCCTCGACGGCACCCGCCCTCGTCGTCCACAGCGGGATGAAGCTGACACCCGTGCACGACGCGTTGCCCTCGAACCCGGGCTCGTAGTTTGTGAAGGATGCGCAGGCGTCCATGCAGTTGTCAAAGTTTGCCGTGAAGAGCGACATCAACGGCGAGTTGGGTGCGTTTTTGTTGCCTTGAGGTGGCATGTCAGTAATGCGCAAAAAGTGAGATGGGATCTCTCAGGTGCACTACTTACAGTACATGGTGAACGTCTTCTTGCCGAAAAAGTCAGTCGTGTACGTCTGGCCAGTCGTCGTCTCGCTCGAGTCGGTGCAGCCGTTGGTGAGGGCGTTGAACCCCGTAGCCGTCGCTGAGGCGCTCGTCACCGTCACCGTCGTCGTCGCCGTCGTCCCGCCGCTCGTCGCTGACGCCGACATGGCCGCCAGCTCCTGGATCGCGTTGTTGGCCCGGCTCGCCTCAACGCCGGTGCCGGCCGCAAGACCGATGACGGCGGCCGCCAAGACGGCGATGATGACGGAGAGGAGGAAGACGAGGAACGTGCAGCCGCAGACGGTCTTTCTGGACTTTTGAGGGGCAGTCTCCCCGGCGGCGTGGTTCTGGTACTGGTTGCCGCCGTAGACGGACTGGTCGACGCCGGAGGCCGGGTACCCGTACGTCGAGCCCTCCTGCTTCATCGGCGTCACGGGTTCTGGCTGTGGCGAGGCCGAGTACGACTGCTGGGGTGGCGGGTGGTAGACCTCGGGGTACTGATGCTGAGGTGCCAGCTCCGGGCCTTCATCGTACTGGTGCTGTGTTGTAGCCATGATCAGTTTTTCGGTGGATCGAATAAGATCTTTGGTGAAGCTGTGAAGAAACCAAAAGAGATGGGGAAAACCGAGAGAAAGGAGAGCCAAGAGGAAGGGGAAAGCAACCAAGCGGGGAACTTACCCTGGGAGCCATTTTTAAGTACTTGACTGTACTCATAAGAGGCAGAGAGAGAGGGACAGACAGACAGGCACCAGAAAAGAGCCGGAAGGATTGGACAAGGTGCGGGACGGGAGAAGCATGAGCTGGGATCGAGAAGGAGGAGGAGCAGGAGGTAGATCAACGAAGGAGCTGGAGTGGCCACGGGTGGAAAGACATGTTAGTCTAGCGTTGCAGTAAAATCTGACCCCGGGCAATGGCCCCCCATGTTACCCATCCTTTGGGCTGATGGTTGAACTCTCTTCAACGTCTGGGCGAAGAGTTACCACAGAGTGATGAGCGTGATGGTGAGAGTGAGAGTGAGCAAGGCATGCATGGCATGGCTACCTAGCCTGCTACACTAGTAGAGGGGGCCAGCACGGGTCGCCGGATCCAATCCTTGAATCGACCACACTCTCGCGTATGTAAGAAGATAGATATTGCAGGGGTCCCGAAGAACGGGGTCGAGACCACCACCGCTGCGGGCACCGGTGGATGGCTGACGGGCCAAGGACAAGAAGAAGAACGTGAGGAAGAAGAAACTTCAGACGGGACCAACCACCATTGGTGATGGAGCTGATGGGCTGAGGCTTTGCAGGGTTCCAGTTGCCTACGTGGGCGCTAAGTTCTCTCCTTTCAAATTTGCCGTGGTTCGTAGGATTTTAAGAAACGAAGCTTGTACTCCGTAGCGTACGCAGTAACATGTAAAATAGCTCCCAGTTGGCGCTTCCTTCGCACGGGTTAGCCGCGAGGAGCACACCAAGAGTCGCACAAGGCCCAGCCACGAAAGCTTGACAGGAGCGTTTGTGCGCCGTTGCCCCTTGGGAGAGTTGGGCGCAGCAAAGACACATGTTTGTGATTTCTGGCCACAATGTATCCCGGCACCGGATACGTCTTCTGCGGGAGAGACAAGCGTTAATGATACCATGCAGGCGAGCGGATCGCCCCAGGCAGCCCTTATGCGCTTCTTTTAGTCGGGTACGCGATGGGCAGAAGATATCTATCACGCCCTCTGCCTCTCTCTCTTAAGGAGGGAAAAACTTGCCTCAAAAGGACCATTGCCTCATGGATTGGCATCAATGATTTCCCAGAACAATTGGATCCGCGGAAAGGAACCAATGGGGTAGTATAGTCAAAGTTGACAAAGCAGAGAGATTGCCAACTCAGTAATGAGCATCACGACATTGTGCTCTCTGGGTTGCTAGTGCTTACCAGCTGTGGGACACAGTTTGACAAGGGCCACCCATGGATGCTACATTGCTACCACATTCGACTTACCCAATAACAGGGTTTGTGGGAACGGCGGGCCTGCGGGCTGAATTTGTGAGGTTACAATTGATTGCCTATTGCAACGCTGAGCGTATCCATGATTCCGCACAATCTCAATTGTCGATGGCCGCCAGATCTGAGGTTTTCCTCGTCAATGGGAAAACCGAATTGCTTTTTCAAGATGGGCATCCGTATAAAGTAAGGCAAGGTGAACGCCAGCAAAGGGTCCGGGATTAGAAGGTTGAATGAAAGGGACCAGCTAGCAGACATAGTCAACCGTGCCGTTGCGGCGCCTTATTGCGCCTGGGATCGTTTTTAGCAAGAGGGCCGAAGCGGCAAGCCCTTCCCGTGGATGGAAAGGTGGCACGCCGCACGCCGCACGCCGCACCACCATCTCTATTCTCTCCTGGGCTGGACCGCTGGGCTGCCTCGTCCGCCCGTTTGCTCAGGAACTCGCGCTTCTTGAGGGCATGGGCGCTCCCGTTGCCAGGCTGGTTGGTGTGTGTGGTTACTGGTGTGTGCGTGGCCACGTTCGTTATGGAGACAGAGGGGAAGAGGAGATGAAAGGCTATCTTCATCTCTATCTCTGGGCGAAAGGGTGGAACAGTGTACTCCGTAGTTGTGGGGTTATCAACTTATCACCCACAGGCTTTCTTCCGGATGTTGAAGAACTCCGAAATCAAAAGATGGAGGTTTCTGCTCAGCGCCTGCGGCAAGATGCAGAAATTTTGAAAGGGGAAGTAGATCAACACACGATACCCTGTAGTCGCCGACGTGGACTGAAGTGGTATGGTCCATCAACGCCCGCAGGCAGTGCTTAGAAGTTCGAGTCTTGGAGATGTATAGATCGATCTTTTATCGACTCTTTTCGGTGACAGACGTTGAGACGTTGCTGATGAACCAGCAAGCATCCATATCCTCTCCAAGACCCAACTCTGAGCGGTTTGTGAGCAAGAGAAATACGACGCATGGACAACCAAATAATCCAAGAGCGGGAAAAGGCTTCTCTTCTGGGATGGCCCTGAGAGATTGGCCTGAGCTCATCCCACCCCCTGGCCGAGTCTGCGCCTCTAGCAGGATAACCCCCGGCGGTCCGACTAAGCTTCTTTCAGCCGTACGAAGCAGCCGTCCAATCGCCCCTCGGAGGAGCTGCTGGGGTTCTTAACCGCCAGGCAGACCACAATTTCGCCAACAGAACCAGAGGAGAATCACTAATCATGAGTATTTTCAACATCCGCATCGGATCGGGGGAGAAGGATCATCTTCGCCGAGAGGGAGTCTCGTCAATCTTGTTTAGTCGTTGCGAAAGAGCTTTGCTCATCGACGCTCGGCCCATGGCCCAACCCAGCCGAGAGGAACTTGCTTCCAGAGATATGATAAAAGGGTGACCTCACCTCATTTTAACGTCAGCAAGACCATGTGACGAGCCGTCCTCATTTCTCGTAATCCTGCGGCACAGCAGCAACAGCAGAGGCTATGCCACCACGGTTCGAGAGCCATTGTTCCCATTGTGGTTGGTATCTGCCGTGACCAGCTTGTTCTTTTTTGAAGGTCCAGACGGGCTCATCTTGGAAATTCCCTGAACGTCCCAGGCGAGCTTGAGCGGCACAAGCAGCCATAGATATCGCGGTAACACCTTTATCCCCTCACAACTAAGTAAGTACTTAGAATATCACTTGGTGATGACCATTTTCTCCCAGGGTCATCGAGATTATATCTGTCTGCATCCGACATTGCAAGTCGCAAGCTGGGTCGATACGGATGCTCCTGCCAGCGTATTTTGAAGCTGGTATCGTGAGATCAGCTAGAATGATCTCAACATCAATTCGCACTCCTAGGGTTTGTTCCTTCATCGCCGGACCCATGAGCATATCTCAATTAAGCTCTTGGTCCTGCACCTCTACATTGGGCCCCTGTCAGGCACAGTCTTCCCAATGGCTGGAAGAACATCCTCCTCCGCACAGAAGTCCCTTTCGCTTCGCGACCCCCGTTGGTTTAAGGCAGACTTCACTGAAGTCACAACCAACTCTTTTGCCAAGCTTCATCGAAAAGTCATTTAAAGGGGGGCCGCTTCGTCGCTCTGAGCTTGAGTTGCTATGTGAAAGACAACACCTGCAACTTACAAGTACCTCCGCCCGGCTCCCGGAAACATCATCAAACTTCACGCCCTGAGCAATCCTTCTGTTACGATGAAGACGTCGTCGCTCCTTCCCGCCGTCTCGGCGATATTGGCTCTCGTCGACGCGCAAACGACCGCGACATCGACCTCCAGCGTGCAGGCTCCTCGAGTCACATCATCCGCTAGAGCTTTCTTTATCTATGATACTCATCCGACCGGGAGTCTCGAAGCATCTGTCGTTGCGTACGAGCGCGAGACGGCAACATACCAAGTTGTGTGCCCAACGGCCGATGCAGCCTGCCAAAAGGAGGGTTACTGGCCGGCCAACGTCACCCACATTGAGGGCTCTAGCTGGGTCGGAAGTAATACGGCCACGTCCGGCATCGTGAAATATTGGGACTGCCGGCTCGGCACTGGCGGCCGTCCCGTGATTTCAGATCAGTATGGACGGTGCCACGTATCAACGTCAACCCCCTCGCTCAGGACCGGGACTATGGATGAGGAGCTCGCCGTCAACACATGCTTCGTGGAGGCGCGCTCTGTCGTTGTGGCCATTACTGCAGGATTGGAGAAGGTTGAGGCAGTCCACCGGATACTCACGGAATCCGAGTACGTTGGGGCTTGGGAAGCTTCGTCTCTAATGTCTCTGATGAGTTCTCGCAGTGCGACCGGAACGTGTTCGCCCTTCACAAGCCCTGCGCCTTACACCGGTTCTCTTGTCACGGGGAGCTCAAGTTCGTCGTTACCTGCGGAGACAGGTGCCGCAACTGGTACGGGAACGGGTGCGGGAACGGGTGCGGGAACGGGTGCGGGAACGGGCTCGACGACAGGTGCGGCAAGTGGCACGGCAACAGGCACGGCGGCGACTGGTGCGGCATCGGGTGCGGCGACTAGTGTAGCTTCGAGTATGTTGATGTTGCTTGGAGCGGCGTTTGTGGGGTGTGGTACTCTTTGGTGATCGGCACATCAAGTGATGGGATGAAAGCTACGATGGAGTAAAGTAGCATCCATGTAGCAGATCAAGACATGGCACCTTGGTGTTCAGTCATCATTGCCGCCAATAATATGGTATACCGCCGCGTGCCAAAGGCCAATCTACCCCGCGATCCTGTGACAACATCCGAGAAAGGTCGAGACTGTGCGCGCGATGCCGCAGCCGCATGTGAGCTTCGGGCCGGGAGGGATGAAATGTCAGCCGGGCTTCTTGACAGCTTTCTGTCGTCGGAAACGCGCCGCGCGAGACAGACAAGACAGTGGCATGACAAGGCAAGGCTGCGTTTGTTACCCCGCCTGTTCGAACTTTGGATACGAATGCTTCGGGACGTCCTCCTCTGGACTGTTGCCGGGCGCAGGGATTAAGCTTTCTAGTTCCCTCTGGCCAGTTTCAAGACGGCTTGAAACCCGGTGCCGTCAGTAAAGTTGTGCTGAACACGTATGCCTCCATCGCGAATCTCAAATCATGTTGCGGCTGTTGATTGGCCGCCGGTGGTTTGGGTTCGAATGCGAGTGCTTCTTGCAGCTTGTCTGTGGGCAAAGGTTGAAAGTTGGTGTCAAAAGTTATCAAGTAATTATCCTGTCTGTTTTGAGATGGATAGCAAAGCTAAGATTGATGGCTTTGTCGATGCTGGTTATAGAGTCTCGGTTTCGTAAACGCCGTATAGGAGTTGTCGTCTCAACAACTTTAGTTGGATGCCAAGGAAGGAACACAACTAATAGGACTAATAGTGCGCCCTACCTGTAGATAATCCAACTCAAACCTCGGTTGCAACTGACAAAAGCAATCAAGGTTCAGCTCGGAATTGAGGCAAGCCGCAAGTCGCAAGAACGGAACGCAGAGTGAGGTAGCATGCCGAGTGGGCCTTAATTGCTTACCTAAAGCCAGCAATTACCTGCGACTGGAGGGGGGATTCAGGGTCGGGAAACAGCTCCGGGGGTCCTAGTTTCATGCATGTCATAGCTTTCCGTAGGTATTGCTGTGAAGATCTTCCATTGTCTGTCTCTATCCGTACGGGGAATATATAAGGCAAGGTACCGGGTCTCGAGGATGGGTTGCTGGCATATACTTTGGTTTACTATCGATCGAGTTGAGATGGATTCGAACCGAGGCGGATGGTCACGAAAATAGTGACATCTGATGCACTCGAAAGCGAGGCACTAGCAGTCTGCAGTGTCCAGAAGAAGGCCTGTTCCCGTGTTCCATGGACCATGGCACTCAAGGCCGTGGCTAAGCCCCCATGATCTCCATCGGAGCACAGACAGCCCCAGAATCTTGAGCCTCCAGTGAGGGAACGGAGGCAAGGAAGGATCTTCGAAGAATCAGACACTTTGCTGTGTAAGGTGCATGGGAAAAGCCACACACAACAGCCAACCTGCGATCCCAGAACGTACATACTTACGTACCTACCTGGACATAAGGTAGGTACGGATAGTGGAAGAGCTCTCTCTCTCTCTCTCTCTCTCCCGGCCACACGTCCCGGATGGTGGCGCCTGCCAGATCCTGGGTGGCCATTTCTTATTGGCATATTTTCTTTCCCGTCCCTTCCCTCCAGCAGCGCAGCTCCCCAGTCCAGTCACCTTCAGCTTCCCTTTCTCACTTCTCGACATTCCTCTGCCTCACGCCTTGCTGTCTCTTCGCCTGGCCTGATCTTGCTCTTCTTTTCTTGCTTTTCCCGCCCCGATTTGCACTTTATCCATTGACTTGTGGCCACTCACACTTCGCCTTTCCAATTTCACCTTCCAACAGGCTACGCCGCTTTCGACCTCCCCAGTCTTTGTTTGCCCCCCCAAGGAGCAATATTTCGTTGGGCGTCAGGTGCGCCGCAGCCCAGCGTGCGATGCGACAAGCTATGTTTCCTCGACTACAGCTCGAATAATGCATTGCGTACCGTTCAACTCACCGTCGAACCGGCAATTCACAACACCTGACCCCTATCTGTCTTTCTGCCAGCTTCTCCCATCTCCAACTTTGGCTCAACCCCGTCTCGGGTCTTGTACTCCCTGACGCGCCTCTCCTCTCGATAGGACGTACGACACCCATCACCCGCTACGCCTCTTCCACCTCTCTGGCGGGTTTGGGCTGTCTTATTCGTCCAACCTGCTCACCTCAGCCAACAACACATCTCTCGCTCTCGACGCCGCTGAATGACGACAAACCCGGGCAAGCGACGACACTCGATCTCGACTTTGGCAAATAGAAGCTCTCATCCGACCCCTAGCTCGGAGCTCTCCACCGATCTGCGCTCGTTATCGTTCCCGTCTCCCCCTGAGCTACCTGCTTAGGCCCCGCCACGTACCGCTTCGTCCTATCTTCCACAACCCCTCCCCGCCCATCCCAAGCTTTATCGCGACTACCCACAATGCCTACCTACCTCTGCCACGGATTTCGTTGGGACCGTCGAAGCATCCGCGTCTTTGTCGTCGTCCAGAACATTGACGATGCTGCCCCCGAATGGATCATTGCGCCAAACTCGTCTCCTGCCATCCTCGAGTCCTTCTACTCTCTCTTCGACTTCCTTCCCGAGCCCATACCCGACGAAACCGAGGCCCAACGTGACAAGAAGAAGCGCAACAAGTCCAAAGCATCCAAAGCCGCCGCACTGCGCAACGAATACGATGTCCCAGCCTCGACCGTGCCGCCAGAGGAGGATGACGTCCTGCAGAACGACTGGAGTGCTGTCAAGCTGCTCGAGGAGTATGACCCGACTGATCTAAGCTATGTCAGCCGTCCCTACGCATATGTTGCCGACCACGTAGTACGCATTGATCTGAGCAACTCAATAACGGAGGAGATCATGCGGTACGAAGAACGACTGAGCGAGACCAAGGCGATGGCAAGCGCCCCTAGCGATGAATTCTACAAGGCGAAGAAGAGCTCGTCAGGGAAGAAGGCTGGCTGGTTCGAAAAGCTGAGAGATCAGCTTCAACGAGGAGAGGATATTCGCTGGTACATTGTGGTATGCGGCGACGAGGTGCGCGATTTCCCTGAAGACATGGGTGCGGCAAGGGCAGAAGAGGAGGAGTTGGATAGGGAGGCTGAAAACGCGACACCCCGGCCCCGCGACCGCAGTGCAGGTCCTTCAACATCGAGAGGAGGGGCATCACCCCGTGAGTACGTGTCGAGCGTACCAGCGAGTCAGTTCGCAACAGCCATGTCGCCGCAACAGCTCTCACCAAAGGAGGCGGGTCTGCCCTACGGCACACTTCCCCAGCATCCCAACATGGTTGGCAATTGGACGGAAAAGGAGACGCCAACACTACAAAGCAAACCTTCAATGGACTTTAGGCCAAAGACACCCAAGGGCGGCGGCTTCAGAAGATTATTCGGAAAGAAGGGCGATGATCCATAGAGAGGCGGCCTCGGAAGACTGTTCGGGAAGAAGGGCCATGATGACATTTATTAGAAGCTCAATGGTGAGCTTCTTTGAGGCAGCTCTCCACGACCTGAGCCTGTATTTGTACCACTGTACCGTGTGCTGTCTTAGGTACGACACGCCACGGCATCCTCCGTTTTAAGCGAACCATCCGCACGCCTGCGCGACATTTTAGTAGACACGGTTTCAAAGCGAAGGCGTTTACTTGTATAATTGACTACTTCATTGAAAACAGACAAGGAGAGGAAGAAGAGAGAGAAAGGGAGATTATTAAAGTCTTCATCTTTTATCCCTGTTTGCTCCAATATCTTGCCGCACATCGTCCCGACACCCGCAACCCGCAATCCGCTAAACCCAGCCGCAATGACACCTTGGAGGATCCGCAGCTTTCCCTTTCACTAACAGCTGGAGTAGAGCAGGGGTTAGCTTGCCAAGGTACGTCACTGGTCGTGGGACCTCTCTCGATCATCCTTCCACCGTCCACGTATTTCAGTAGCAACGCGCCCAGCTCGCTCTTTCAAGACATCAATCTTAACCTAGCTTCGTCGGCAACACCCACCTTCAATGCGGCGGAACGAAGACCTGCATTCATCGCGGACTACGGCCTGCAAGCCAAACATCTGCACAGCATCCAATTCCATGACTTAAATTGCTCCTGCCTGCAGAACAGTCCCCAGGTGACCGTGTGTCCTCGACTCTGACGGGACGCATGACGTTCCCCTCCCTGTGGTAATGGCCGAATCCTCGAGGCTTCAGACACCTAGCCGTTCAAATCGCTCTGGCGAAGCGTCACCGTCATTTACGCAGACCACGGCCGAGTTCAGTCTCGACAGCGACCTCGATTTCGACCCTGACGACGACGATGATGATGTCGAGGACTTGCATTTGCATGAGGCACAGCTTGGCGGTGGCCAGGCCTACGAGCTGAAGAGCCTAAGTGCATCACCTGCGAAGGATACTGACGACGGATGGGGTGATGAAGTGCCGTCGCTGCGGAGAAGAGCTAGCACCAGCACCGTCGCGAGCTTCCAGCTTTACACCCCTGACGAGGAGAGGTCCGTTGTTCGCAAGCACGACCGAAAGCTGGTAGTTTTTGTAGCACTGCTATTTATGCTCAGTTTCTTGGATCGATCTAGTATGGCATACCTTGAGCCGCGGCCATGTGATCTTGCAACCTACTGACAGCCCCTCCTCTCCAGATATTGGCAATGCGCGCATAGCTGGTATGGACGAGGATCTGCAGACGAATCCCCCGTGGGACGGTTGGTATGAGTGGACATTGACGGCCTTCTATATCTCGTACATCTTCTTTGAGTGGATGTCGCTGTTATGGAAGCTCATCCCTGCCCACATATACGTCTCCATGATTGTCCTCTCATGGGGACTGACTGCCTCGCTGCAGTCCGTCTCCGTCTCGTACCCTACGCTCATTTTCCTTCGGGTTTTGCTGGGTATCGGAGAGGCCGGCTTCACAGGCATACCGTTCTACCTATCCTTCTTCTTCAAACGAGAGGAACTAGCATTTCGTACCGCTATATTCATCTCTGGTCAGTATCTCGTCACTCCAGACGACCGTTCCAACCGACTGATTATGGGCAGCCGCGCCGTTGGCAACAACATTCGCATCGTCCTTGGCTTGGCTCATCACCAACTATGCAGAGGCTGGACCCATAGCCCCTTGGCGTCTCTTGTTCCTCGTCGAGGGCTTCCCATCCGTTCTCGCCGCCGTAGCCGCGTGGCACATCATTCCCGATAGCCCGGATACGGCGCGTTATCTCACTGCGCGGGAGCAAAAGGTGGCTCGCCTTCGACTTCGACGCGAGAAGCCGCGCCAGAAGAAACATGGGGGAAAGGGTCATAGCAATCTCAACCTTGGTGAAGTGTTTGCTGTCTTGTGCGATCCCATGGCGTTGCTGACCGCGGCCATGTTCTTCCTTACCAACATGGCGTACTCCTCCCTACCCGTATTCCTGCCCAAGATCCTCACCGAGATGGGCCACTCTCGCCTCGCATCGCAAGGCCTTAGTGCTCCTCCATACTTCCTGGCCTTTCTTGCCGTACTTTTCACAGCGCATCTATCTGATCGGGCGCAAACCCGGTCCATTCCCATCATACTGCATGCCCTCGCATCGGCCGGCGGATACGCCGCGCTCGCCCTAGCAAAGCCCATCGGTCTCTCGCCATTGCTGCGGTATCTCGCAGTGTACCCGGCGGCCATTGGCTTCTTCAACGTCGTAACGCTCACCGTAGCATGGAGCATCAACAACCAAGCGTCCGAGAGTAGGCAGGGTGGGGGGTTCGCCCTGATGCAGATTATTGGGCAATGCGGACCGCTTGTGGGGACGAGGTTATACCCGGATCGAGACGCACCTTTCTATGCGCCTGGGATGCAGACCTGCGCGGGTGCGATGCTCGCCGTGGCTGTCTTGGCGCTGTCTCTGAGGTTCTACCTCTCCTACTTGAACCGCAAGACAGACGTCGCTTGCGCCGTCGGTAGCGAAGCCGAAGAAGAGGAGGGCTTGGTGGGATCTGGGGGCCGTAAGAGGACGGCCAGCGAGGGGTTTCGATACATGCTGTAAAGACGAGAGGACAATATTGTAGTAAAGTGTCTATATCCACAAGCCATGCGTGTCAGTGGGTAGTTGTGAATGTAAGCAGGTAAGCGCCTTAGTTGCAGATCAAGGCATGGGATGAACCTGCCACCGCCGAACCTCCAGAAGAAACCTATAAAATTCCTTGATTGAACTTTTGTGGTGAGAACCGCCAATAGGGAACTTTCGAGTCTATTATTGCTCGTCCCATGTTTCTTGTAGTTTAAGGTAGCGGCCACCCTGACAGCCAATAAGGCTACCCGCAACTACCTTACCTTACGTGGATGTGGTGACATGCCGCGTGCCAACGCACGGGCCCGATCTGATAAAAAAAGACCTCGGCTCTTTTCCAACTCAATTGAAGCTCTCAACCTGGAATTCAAAGAACGCCCACAGCTCATCACCAACCGGGTCTCCATCAAAACCATTGGACTCCGAAGTCGCCCATCTCAATAGTACATGTCGTCAAGATTGGGTCGCTTGCCTACGCGTAACATTCGACAATATCCAAAGATTGTGAAAGGGCATCAAGCTTTAAGCTCGTAAGGACAGGGGACAGCAGACCGCAACAATGAAGTCGGCAAACCCAGACGTCCAGCATTTCCTGTCCATCCCCTGGTGCGCGGCGCACCTCAACGAACCAGACACGGTCCGCGACACAGCGCCCTCGCGGTTCCCCAAACAAAACACTGAGGACCAGCTTTTTTCAACGACCCTCAACACGACGGATACGATTGCCGCGTACCTGACCTTTTACAAGCGGCCGTCGTCGTCGTCGTCAGCATCCTCAAGTACCTTGACCTCAGACAGACCAAAGGACGACGACGCCGGCCCCACCGTCATCCGCCAGCTCAAAGCCCTCCTCACGCTCCGCAGCGGGATAAACGGGTACCCGGACGTCTCGCACGGCGGCATCGTCGCCACGATTCTGGATGAGACGATTGGGCTCGTGTTTCCTGTCAACAAGAGTAACGGGTTGATTCCCGACGCGGCGTACATGACGGCGTATTTGAACGTCACGTATGTGAAGCCCGTGAGGACGCCGCAGACGGTGCTGTGTGTTGTTGAGGTGACGAAAGTTGTCGGAAGGAAGTGGTGGATTGATGCGAGGATCGAGGATGAGGGGGGCGCGGTGCTGGCGAGGGCGGAGAGTTTGTATGTGAGGTTGGTTGAGAAGCTTTGAGAGTGGGCATAGAGGTGAAAGCGTAGATGTCTGAAGTTTGCTATGGGAGGGTTTGATTGGGTTTCGGCTCAATTGATGTGATTAGGATGGAAGGCGGCGTACATGCTATCTTGATAGAGGTGTGCAGCGATTACACATACCACGAGTGCATAGAATCTTTGCTCCGAACGAGTAGCAGAGCTTGCTAGATTAGAAGTTCAAAAAAACTCTTCACACGATTGAATACTTATTTGTTTTGTGGAAAAGAGGCAGGCTACGTACTTTGACAGACAAGGAGGGAGAATCACGTCAATGGGTTGTCCGATTTTGGCTACTTACCCGAAGTACAATATTGCCAGGTGAAGAGTCAGATTCGTATATTGACATGAGTGGTTCCAAGCACTTGTATTCTGCTCCAGCCGTCAATCGGTATGTGGATGGAGTTTCAATGAGTGTGATTGATTCGACTCTGCTATGGAACCATATCGATGCGTGCTACTGCGAGGTGAAAGTCCAAGGCTCACGAATATGTGGCTAAGTCTAGTAGTATTCATGGGGATGGAATACTGTCTTAGAGGCTGCAGGCTAGCGTCTGTATCGAGGGATTGCGAGGTATCCCATATATGCCCCCTTAATCTCATTCCTGCCACCAGCCAGTAGGCGCCCGTCTAGGTCGACGGGTCAGGTCAAACTGGCTGGGTGGTGGAGTGGTATAAGGTCAACTTTCAAATCGCCAACCAGCCTACTCGACGACAGGCTTAGCGCATACGAGTATCACTAGTTCGAGTCCCGGAATGAGCATCAAGAGATGTAGCCACACCGGCGGTGAACTCTTTTTTGAAATATTACTACTAGTACATTGATGGGCGAATGCTCCTTGCCTAGGTGTATTAACGTTATCCCGAGCTGAGCTGCGACCACATCCTTTAGTTCTCTTGGAAACGTCTACTTATGATCTGAATCCGGATTTTGAGAAACTTCCTCATCATATTTATTATTAAGCTTACATATCTCGTGTTACAGAGAAAATGGTGCTTTCTCTCTTTGATGAAGAATGATTTCGGATAGGAAATCGTTTAATGCTCCGAATGCGAGTGTCAACTTCGCAACGAGGTGCCAGATGACGGTTCCTCGAAGAGATCGTCCGCCCTGAGAGGTGAGGCTCATAAGGGGTCCTCAACGCTGCTAAAAGCTTGAAGGTAAGTCATCGCACGTGTAGAATTAGCTCTCGAGAATCTGTCATAGGCTTTCTTCTCGCAGGCGGTTTTGTTCATGCTTGCTTGCCGTTAGGTAGATCCCGGAATGTGAAGTCCGATAGCCAGGAGCCGGGGAGGGCCCACAGTCCACAACGTCCAACGCGGATCGCACTGGCCACCGGAAAAAACGCGCTAAGCTACTTTCGTCTCACTTTCTCGAACCTCTCATCGCAGGATCCACCTAAAATTTCATCCTTGCTCAATCGCTTCATCGACTTCATCAACCTTTCTCACTCTCATACAGAGATCTTACACATACATCGTCTGCAAAACGAATCGCACCCGCCCGATCCAGGCACGTTCAAAGCGTCTAGTCCATACGAAACTTCATTTATCCAGGGTGGGACACCGCGCCTCGCTCGTTTCCGACAGCTTGACCGATCCTCGCCCCATCCCAGTCTCTCTCTCACTCACCATCACCACCATCCCAAATCATGGCTCCCAAACGCGCCGCCGAGGGTACATCCTCCTCAAAAGACCACCAAGTCAAGAAGCGCAAGGGCTTCGGACCAAACACCCTCCCTGAGGGTCCATGGCGTAGAAAGGGTAATGAGCTCACACGTCCCTGAACCTCTCACATGATCATCATTCACTAACCTCCACCCTCACAGTCGAAAAGAAGAAAATCGAGCTCATCCACAAGGCCAAGATCAAAAAGGCCTACGCAAAGATCAAGGAGCGAGAACTCGCTTCTCGGGAGCCCTCCTCCTCCTCCTCAAATGCGCAGCAGCCCGCCGCCGCGCTGGCAAAGGACATCTCAAGCGAAGATGAGCTCGACTCCCTCCAGGACCCCTCCAGCAAGACGGGATCTCCCGCGCCAACTTCAGCACCAGCAGCGGCAACCGCATCATCGTCAGCAGTAGAGACAAGCACATCCTCATTCTCATCAACACCAACACCGCCAACAACAGCAACAGCAACAGCAACAACCACGCCTCACCCCTCAAAAGAAGAAGTCCACCCCTCCCGCGCAGAAATGCTCGAAAATGACGGCGAAACCCCCAACCCAAACACAATCGCCGTCAAATGCAAGCACGCGGCGGAAGAATCAGCCGATGCCGCCGCGAACGAGGACACCGCCGGCGGCGACCGCTACGAACCCCGCCAGCAGCGCAGACCCCGCAAACCAGGCTACTACGAGAAGCAGCTCGCCCACGCCGAGAAGAAAAAAGCCGAGGCCGAGGCCCGCCGCGCCGAGATCCAGCGCCGCCGCGAGGAGCGCGAGCGCAAGACGGCCGACCGCGAGCGGTACCGCCGGGCCATGGCGAAGGCGCGCAAGGGGTCCGAGAACGGCGGGCAGCGCAGGCTGGGCAGGGAGAGCGCGCTGCTGCTGGAGAAGGTGAGGCGCATGGTTGGGGACTCAAAGTAAAGGTGCAAAAACCGAGAAAAAGAAGGATGGGAAGAAGGAGCGGGTCAGACCTGATAAGTAGTCTGGCACGCCCTTATACAGAGCTTGATACCACATTGTATATATCATTATCACATTGTTAGGGCACCACGGTTTATAAAAGTTTCGGCTTGGCTTTGTTCAGATACAAAGGATGGGCTGGGCCATCCATGAGATATTTGCAGCGTCACTAAACTTGGAATTCCATCTCGCCCGCAATGACTCCATGCGCAAGTACCATGCTCTTCAGCGTCGTGCTCAGTCGTCATCCTGTCACGTATGACTCGTCCTACTTCTAACCAACTGCAGAAACCTCGCCACAAGATTGAACTGAACCGCCCTCGACACCTCATGGTTGGACGAGGTGAGATCGCGCTCTAGCAACGACAGTGAAGACGTCCCCTCAGCCCTGAATCCTAAACCTGCCTTCGAGAACCAAAGAAAACTCCATTCGTGCCCCGAAGCAAGAAGTGTGGATATCATTAAATTTCCCTGGCGTGGAGAAATACTCCCGTATTGCTGCGGTCATGACGGCGTTCGAACAGTTCGAATCCAAATGTGAGGTAGTAATAAAAGCCGTCAGGCGTGGGGAAAGGTTTCTCCGGGCCAGATTCGTTGAATAAAAGGGGATCGAGGGCGTCAAGTCGTGGGTGCGTTGATATGTACATGAATTTCCAACATCATTTTTGTCCATCCAAGCCAATCTTTCAGTCGGTAAAGATGGTGTGGCTATTCTCGACAACGAATTGCACAGCCAGGTTCTTGGCGTGCATGTCTGTCATCTCACGTTCCAGGCTCGTGTCCCGCATGATAGTGGGCGCAAACACGACCGCCAAGTTCTTGGGAGACATCTGTCATATCAATTAGCTTAATTGCAACCTTACACCACTGAAATGAAAGCTTACCAAGTTCTCAGGCTCCCGTTGAGCAACCCGCGCAAGATGAAACATCAAGAACTCAAGACAGTCGCGGTGTCGCTGTGGCATCGTGCTGAAAACCTTACGAAGATGGTCACAGCGTTCAGTCTGGTCTGTGATGGCTACCAGGCACTGTCAGCTTAGAATTCGGGCGGGAATGTGTGTATATCAACTTACCATTCGACTCCAGGACTCTGTCGTACACCTCGTACGTTAACAACGGCATTGGCAGCTTCCTGAAGTATTGCTTCAACACGCTCGTCACCGCGGTGATGTCTAGGCCAGGGTCTGAGATGTCGTAGTCCTCGCTCTTGTCGAATCCTTCTTGAATGACCTTCACCAGGGAGTTGCCGCCCGTCTTTCTGTAGATGCCTTCAATATCCATACCGCGAAGCTCAACCTCTTCGATACAACGTGTTACTACGCTTGGGATGGTGCGCCTTTCGTAGTCAGCTCTTTCAGTTAGGTCTGAGCCGAACAATGTGGTGGGCGCCTCTGCGATCGTGGGCGTCGACACGTTGGTCGTGGACATGGACTTCTGGTTATTCTTGTTCTTGAAGAAGCCAAAACCTTGTGCTTGCTGCGCATTCTTCTGCTGCGAGGCAGCTCCAAGAGCCTGGGTACTGGGTGCTTCTACTTGAGAAACAGTCATATTGTACGGCAGGCCGATGCTGTCTCCCGTCAGGCCCTGATGAGGACCGCGTTCGCGCTCCTGCTGGAAAGCCACGACGGCACGGTTGACACCCTTGGCCACGCTTCCTGCGAGGCCCTTGGATCCCTTCTTCCAGTTGAACTTCTTCACCTGGCCCTTCCTAATATCAACCACTGTCGGTCGAGCTTCAACAACTGGCTCATCCGTCTCATGAACGAGAGTCGTGGTCATGCTCGCCGAGTCGGTGAGGTTCAGATTGGATGATGAGAAGACCTTGCTCTGGCTGTAAATGCCAAGACCGTTGGGAGACTTGAGTTCGCCTCCAATTTGAGACTTGAACCGTTCTTGGATCTGGTGGGTCATTTCGTTGTTCATGTCCGCAAGCTGGGCGTTCTTGGAAGAAAGCTGCTCAAACTCCAGCAGGGCGCGGTCCCTGTCGGCCATTGCCTGGTTCTTCTCGTCGACTAGCTCGTCGCGTTCCTCGTGTAGCTGCTCGATAGCTGCGCTCATGGCCTGCTTGACCTTGTCAAGCTTCTGCACAAACTCCTTGATTGCAGAATCTTCCAGGTCGCGGGGATCGACAGGTGTCTTGGTCTCCTTTGCGCGTTCGACGTATCCGGCGAGAACTTCCAGCTGACGAATCATAATCTCAGTCTGAGTATCCAACACCGAAACTGTTTTGCGCTTTTCAATGAGCGTCTTGTTAAGACGCTTCAAGTCCTTCTCCGTAGTGAACTGTCTCTCCAACTCGGCAACACGATTCTCTGAGTTGCGCAATTGCCTCTTGAGGAAAGCCGGATCGTCGCTTGAGTGCAGGGAAATAGGGCTGCTGATCTCATGTCCGTTGGGATCCTCGGCAATCGGGGTCTTGGGCCAGCGAGGAGAAGCGGTACCGCGGGTGGTCTCACTGATGCTCCTCGTGTGACCTGTGACTCTATGAGGATGTTGAGTCTGAGAATGACCACCCTCGGTACTGTTGGTACGTCCGTGACGGACGGCATTTGATACACGACGAAGGATGGACGACGAATCTGCGTCGGTGCCAAGTATCCTCGCCATGTCCTCGTCCATACTGAAATCGCCACCTGCACTCCATCTAGGCAGCTTAGGTGATACCTTTCCTTCCTCGTTGACGTTCGCCTGATCCTTTGCGGGAGGATTGGGAGAGTTGGCAGGTTTGCCGGGCGGTTGAGGGGGTGCTCGAGGCTGCATGTAAGTATCGCTGAGCTTGTGCTCAGTCATATTCGGTCGCCCGGCTGCGAGACCTGATGAGGTTGTCTCATCATGTGTGTTGGATCGACCTAGAGGTTTGCCGTTGGCTGTGGGAGAGTAAAAAGAAGATTAGGTCGGTGCGCCTTGCATGATGGTAAAACACGGGTGCGAAATTGACTTACAGCTACGCGAGGGAAGCTCTTTACGAGCAATGGATTTGCCAGCAGTTGTGTCTGTTCGCGAGGAAGAGATGGAGTCCATCGAAGGACGCACCTCGCCCTCATCGCGCTGTCTCGAATCTTGAGACGATCGGGCCATGCGTGGAGGTGAATCGGACGAAGGCAAGTTAGGAAACGGCTCCTTGTCTTTGCGCAGAACACCTTCGCTGCTCTTGGCGCTGCCGCTCTCTGGGGTCAAGGCGGCCGAGTGAGAGGCACTTCTCGGGCTAATGAGCTTCTTGCTCTTGGGCGCATCTTGCAACTTAAACTCATCAATCGATGGCGAGAGCTTGCCGGTTGTAACCTTGTGCGATTTCTCATCATTGATGACCGATGATCGCCCGTCATGCCGAGATGACTTTGAAGTCTTGCGCAGCGGCAACTTAATGGGCCCTGACTCATAATCAGACGACGGCTGTCGACCCTTCTCCTGAAAAGCAATATGGGGTGTTGAGGACTGGGATTCGCCCTTTTGATCAGTGCTGGCTCGGGGCACGCTGAAGTAGTCCTTATCCTTCTTGGATGCGCTGGACACGTTCTCCGATGTCGATCGGGGGGTAGCATTCGATGCCGGGTTGTTATCCAGCGCCACCGGAATGAAGAAACCGTCGTCACCGCCGTTAGTATCGGCGTTGTTATTAGGAGCATACATGGTCGAGTTGCGGTTGTTGCGGTAGTTTGCAGCAGGAAGACCCAAGCCGCTTTCCCTGGCGGGCTCGGAGACACGCTCAGGAGAACGCGAAGGCCGAGTGCTATTTTTTGACGAAGAATCATTTCTGCCGTATGCCGGTCGCGGTCTTGGGGACAGCTCGGTCGGAGTCTCCTTGTCTGAATCGGGGTCGACTTTGGTATCGTGGAAGGCATTCGGAGGAATGGCATTGGGTGGCAAGGCGGGAAGTGACTTGTCGGTAATCATGGGGGAGCCGTCCTTCTCTTTCGACTTGGCCTGGGCTGCTGCTTTTGATTTTTTCCTCCGTCTTGCCATGAGCGACTCATGACAGCTCATACAGAAAATACCTTGCGAAGTTCGAGCATATCGCAGGTTCTCGATCTTCCGCTTGCAGTTGCGACACCTAAAGCACGTTGCGCAGAAGGCCTGATCCCCGGTGAGGATGGCGAGGTCCTCGATCTTGTTGTTGCAGGCACTGCAGCTATATGTACAGTTGTTGCAGATGAGCGAGCCGTCGCCGAGGAGTAGCAGGTTCGCATCGGAATCGAGAAGGGTGCCGCAAGTATTGCAGCGGAAGCAGTTGAGATGCCATCGGTTTCCAGCTGAAGGAGGAGGAGACTGGTTAGCCTGGTTGAACTTGGAGACTGCGGACGACGCCATGGCCACGGAGGACATCATGGCCACAGGGTGAAGCCAGATGATGATGCTGCTCAGAGCATATTACAGAAACAGAGAATAGGGCAAGAGAGAGTTGAGAAGAGAAGCAATTGTAGGGAACATACCAAGTTCGAACGCTTTGCCCTCTTCTAGGATCTAATCGGGTAGGGTACCGCCATCAGTACGTGCTTGCAGAATAGTCAGAAGTAATGGGGGTGGGCCATCGTACCTCGCCGCAACCTTTGCAAGGGAAGACGTCGTCATTGTCCATGGGACTCTCCAAATAATCCTCCACGACAGCAGTCATGACGGGCAGAATGTCCTTTTTTCGTAGGACGTCGTCACGACAATTATCTGGCGAGCAGGAAGACGACTTTGTCGCCGGTCATGAAAGCAAGTCGAAAGCAAAACGATCGATAGGCGAAGGGTCGTCTGTGAAAAGCTGTATCATGGACGACGAGAGATGAGGATCGGTCGGCAGGCTGTGCGGTTCGTGCCAGAAGCCCGACAGGAAGGGCGTGTACGACGGGCAAGAGAGCTTGTAGTGAATGGCGCTTCGAAAGGGGGTGTGTGCTCAGAAGCGCGATAGCAGCGAAAGCAGAACGGCGGTGCGGGAAGTGAATGTCGAGGTGGTGAGAGTAGCGAGGGGCGTGGGCGGTGTCGTGGTAGTGGTAGCGCTCGTTTGATTTCGTCTGGAGGGTTTTGGATGTAGTTCGCCAGCGAGAAGGTGAGAGGTTGTACTCGAGGGCTCGGGGCCTCTGGGGGGAGGCGTAAAAAAAAGGAAAAGGCAAAAACCCAAAAAGAAGCGAGGCGGCGCCGGTGACGAAAATCAGGGTTAGGTGAGGTGAAGCAAGGTAATGAGGTTAAGTGGCAGAGGCCGTGATCTCGCGGTGGCAGTGGAAGCGAGAGCAAAGCTGGGCGCGGGCTTGTCGAATTGGGAATTGTGGTGACAAACTAGGCCCTCGAATGGTCGGTTGGATGAAGAGGTGCGACGACGACGTGGAGGACGAGCGAGACGATGGCAAGCCCTGGGCTTGGTCCGTGGTACCGGGCTAACAGCAACGGGATGATGAGGACCGAAGCTGGCGTACCTGGGAACCTACGCAGTCAGGAAGCAAAGGGTGGGTTGACGGGTTCAGGGGGTTGTCCAGGCCCTTAGAAAGGTACAAGAGAGTTTGATGGGGGAGGAGAGCTGAAAGGCCTCTATCGCGTAATGAAGGAAGGTGCTTGTAACGCGCGGACCTTGCCTTAAGGCAGTGACGGGTCGTGTACGGAGTACAGAGTAAAGGCAATGTGGAAGGTAAGGTAGATTGCTAGCGTGTACGAGAAAAGCGAGGGGTGGAACTTGGAAAATTGTCCAAGTACCTTTATCCGTTCCTACCTTAAGGGAAGGAAAGCACCAAGTAGTACTCCGTACCCTAGGTAAATGATAGTAGGTGTGTATACCGACATACACGCTACAATCAAGTGAGGGAGAGAACGCGAGAGAGGAAAGGAAATGTCCCTTCCTCGACACACACATGCACACACACACACACACACCCACATTCACGAAGACAGAGAGCGAGGGGGGGAGGGGAAGCGCGAGGAAATGATCACTGGTGGATGGCGGTGGCGCTCGTCGTGGAATTTGGGGGGAAACTCGGGGGGGGGGGGGGGGGGGGGCAGGGGGGGGGGGGGGGGAGGGGGGGGGGAGGGGGGGGGGGGGGTGGGGGGGGGGGGGAGGGAGGGGGGGGTGGGGGGCGGGGGGCGGGGGGGGAGGGGGGGTGGGGGGGGGGGGGGGGGGGGGGGGGGGGGAACTCTGGATGGAACGGGAGACTGATAGCTTGAGGTGGAGGTGGAATCGGGGACTGGAACTGGATGAGAAACGGGGCTGGACGGACGGGAGGTGGAACAGGATGATGGGACACTCACACACAAACGTTGGCAGATGTGATGGATGGTGCGGTGCTGTGGTACGGAGGGGGTGGTGAAGTTGGGAACAGGGCGGGAGTGATCGGTACCTCGGAGCCAGGTACTTCCTGGTTCCCATCTCCTTCCATAATCCATCCACAGGTACCTACCTACCGCAGCAGGTAGCTTACCCCCTTCCCGGGCAGGCAGGGCAAGCAGCGGGGTGGGTGTCGAGAGTCCAACACTTTTTTTTTTGGTCCATACGGCAAAACATGGTTAACTTCGCTCGCCAAACTGATAGCATCATTCAGTTTAATGAAGACGCTTCTCATGAGATCGAGGTGAAATGAGAGATCCAGTCTCTGATTCTATGCCAAATCACGCAGATGGCTTTCTACATCAGCCTATGTACCATAGAGTATAATGTATGTATCATCTGATGCAGGCATCTCAGGGCAGACAATGTCCCACGTGCCTGAGCTAGGCAGGACTCGCCAGGAGGCGTCTTTTCGCAGTGTTTGGGCTTGCAGTGTGTCCGTTTTACACAGAGTCACAACACTTTGTAGCATGAAGAAACGGAAAGGAAAAAAGAAGAAGAAAACAAAAAAGACAGAGACAGAGACAGATAGAAGAGGGATTGATGCTATTTCTTATTTTTATTTTGCTGGTGTCTCTCGGGCACCTAGACTGGAAACCCCCCAATTGGCGACTCTTCACTCTTATTGTCCTACAACTCCAAGAGATGCCGGGACAGAATAAAGAATACATGGCATGACACCTATCCGCGAGCTAAGGTATGTGGGTGCGCATAATCCGTACAGAGATACGCACATACGAACACCACACAGCCGTCACAGCCCAACGTGAACGGGACGTGGACATAAGAAAAGAAGATGAGCAAAGGCCCATCCCCTTCTGTGGCACAAACAGTGGAACCCCTCATCACTCAAACCCCCCTCCACGAGTCCACAGTCCACTCCATATCATCATGTCTGCTGCTGGGGTCATCTCCCGGCGGCGGAGCGAGGGACTCAAGTCTCATGGGAATAAGTCGTGGGGTGTTCCGCCAGGAACCCACGCCTGCTGACTGGCCACTGGCCGCCAGGGGCTTCGGTACCTCCTGGTGCCATTTACCTAGGTATCTTCGTGCCACTTCAGAGTGGTAGAGTACTCGATCCAGGGGATGGGAGAAGTTGATGGTGACAAGTGTACTTATAATATCCAAGTCAACAGACAGCAGTGCAAAAAAGAAAAAAAGAAAAGAAAAAAGGGACATGCTGGGCAAGAAACTCGTACGCCAGGCTTCAGCACAAGTGACTCTCGAACTGTACCGCCAACAAATAATGCCGACCAGCGGTGCTATGTAAGCCCGATGAGCTGCTACACGTACTTGATGAAAGTCACCGTCGCTCGTTCCATGGGACCGATTTCGAGTGCCCGCATCGAAATTACAATTCGTATTGTTGACTACATCGAATTTCCAGACTGATGAGGTGAAAGGGGTGGGCCAGACGATAATAGGCAATGGACTTGGGGCGGTACGGTAGAGTACTTCCTACCGACGTCTCTGGTGACTTACACGCTCAGGCCCATTGAATAAGAACCGAAGCACAGGAGGTGACGGTGTTGTGCTAGGCGAAGCATAACAACGACCACCATTGTGCTCTGTACATTGGTGGCCCAGAAGCGGTAACAAGCTAACAACTCAAAGCTCGTCTTTTCCTAGACCACAAGCGATCACCGGGTATATGGAACTATCCAGGCAATGATTGCAAGCCTTGAGTGCAATTGCGAGTAGCCGGTACGGATACTTGCACTGTTTAACTCCATTGTTTTGCATTACTAGAGGATTACCGTAGTACATATAGACGCTACCCTACCCTCAAATTCCGTACTATTTAACTTTAACCCTTTTCTTACCTATCTTTTTTTCTATTCTACCCTCTTTCTCATTAAGGGATTACTAAAATCGTAGTTTTAATAGCTTATTAATAAGTTAATATTACTATTTAAAAATAAGTAACTTACTCTTATATATAAATACTAAGAGTTTTATTATTATAAAAATAATAATAAATATATTAAAGTACTTAAGAGAGCTTTTTAATAAATTTTTAATACTATTTAAAATAATTATTTTTAAACTATAAAAAAAACCGAAGTATTATATTAATACGGCTCTATTTATCTTATTAATATTAATAATACTTTTTTTAATATAAGATATATTAATAATATTTTATAGTTATATTATTATATTTCGTAAATCGTACTTAATATTAATAAAAATTTTAGTATTATTTACTAAGTTTTTTATTAAAGTTATTATTATAAAATTAGCTTAGTTATTAGTATTTTAATAAGTATTTTAATTTAGTATACTTAAAAGCTTTTATAGTTCTTAATTAAAGGCTTTTAAAAAACTTATAATTAAACTTTTTATTTATTACGAGCGAAGCTATTATAATTAAAACTATAGTGCTACTTATAAACCTTAATAATAAGTAATTAGTAATATAATTATTTTTTTTTATAATAAGTTTAAAAAAGTATTTTAATTTAAATACTAAGTAAGTATTATATTATTTTATTAAAACTATATTCTTATACTTATGACTTAGAAAGAATTAACTTTCTTTGATAATAAGGTACTTAGGTACGGATACTTGATATGTTGGTCGTCTTATGTAAACAAATGACTGCCGTGGCTATCCACCCCATTCGGCAAGCCGTGGGAGACACATAAGAGAGCCACCTTAAATTGAGCCCAGTTAGACGGAAATGAAAGGGTCGTTGCACTTATTACAGCAGACTTGATTGAGGGTTGATTTTCCTCCGCCTTCTTTTACTCTGGGGGCTGTCTAGTGGATATCTCAGATGGCAACCCATGCCTTACTGCGGCTCAGCACCAAGGTAGGACGACAATGTGTTGTTGTTGGTCGTCTTCGCAGTAGAGTAAGCGGCAAGAGTTGAGACGGCGTAGGCTGGGATGGGTCATGGAAAGGGCTTCTCTGCAGTGTACCGCAGAGGAGCTACAGCTCGTGGCCCAAGCCCATCATCTCGAGGAGCCTTTATTCCTCTCATTGTCTGCATCTCTCGCGCGTCGCATGCACGTAAAAGGTGCGGTGTGTTGTACCTGAACGGCATCTGACGGGATGTCCCTATGCGCCGTTAGCTGCAGGTCCAGCTGAAGCACGGCCGAGGCTTGGGACACCAGCTAGGCCCAGTCGGTGATCCGTTCGTGTTTCCTAAGCAGCTAAGTTCCTGCGGGTAAGCTCCGAGAGACTGCGAGCGAGCTATGAGCTGGCGACAAGACTCCAAGATTGGGTTTGAGCTTGATAGCAATACGTAGTAATGACTCGAAGCTGACGCGAGGGTTTGAAGTGGGCTTCTCCCCGAACCTAGTTGCCGACCTTTGGGCAGTCAAAGATCCAGTCGAAGGTGCATGAGCAGAAGAGGCAAACCAAACGTGTGGTAGAAGAACAGACAAAGCACGTTGTATCGCGGAGCACGGTGTATCAACCGTATCAAGATATCAGACGGAGAATTGAAGCGGCTTAGATACACGACGGATTGAAACCAAGTCGTTTCCCCTTGCCCGTGACTCGAGCTGTGGCTGTCACATCCACGTCGTATGTCATGTGTGCGTCGTGTGTCGTTCCAGCAAGGCGAGGCAGGTCCTGGTTTGACGTGAACCAGCGGGACGCCAGAAGCTCGAGGTATCTGTAGTTCCTAGGCATAGGAAAGTCGGTACTAAATTTAGCGAGACGTGTTGTTGACTAGGTACCACTCAGCGATCGGGATTTGCCTCTAGCAATGTAATAATATCTGTCAGCTTACACAGCACAGTACTCCGAAGAGAGGCAGAGGAACGAAGGAGCTGGTCGGCTGTTGGTCTGGCCCTTCTGATCAGCGACCAAGCTCCGACCCCCTTACAGCTCGCAGCATGTGGCTCAACAACCCTGCTGTTATGTTAGTGTAGCGCCAGGCTCGGAATCGGAGATCAGCAGAGGATGAGGAGCCGTGTTGGACCGTTGAAGTCGAGGGAAGAAGGTCGATCAATACTTGCAGCAGTGAAGAGGATGTCTGGAATGATCGGATTGGACACAGTGCCACTGTGGCACACTGTAGGGTTGAGTTGTGGTCAGTGGTCGTCAATCGAGCATCTCACGGAGACTTTGTGATGTTGGGGTACGATGCTACGGATAGTGCCATGCCAAGTATTAGATGCGCCGGAGCTTTGTGAGAGGAAATCAATCTTCAGGAAAGGAGGCCAGTTCGGGGTAGGATCAAGTCTGTAGGGACCGATCCAGTGGCAGACTGTCATGGCAGGCCCTGTGATTGCAATTGATGCTGGGAGTGAACGTGTGAGAACTGGTCAGCAGTAAGGTACGCCAACGACATTGAACCAGAAGATGCCTTCAGAGTAGGTAGGTACTATGTAAGATAAGGTAAGGTAGGTAGGCAGGTACTTTCTGAGGTACGTATGCTGGTCGTCGGGGTCGGGGAGGGGTAAACCCTTGATTCTGGGTACGTATCTCATCTAAATGAGAAGTCGAGACGGGTGAACGACTGGACGTGGAAGGCGTAAGTGGAGATTCGGTGCTACTGTTTCAACTAAACGCCTCTCCGCTGCAAACGCCACCAGGTCGATCCGGATCCTTCTCCTCTCTTCAGTCTCTCAGTCTTTCTACACAAAAAAAGAGGGACGGTTTGAAGCCATCCGCACTCTGCCGCTACTCATCCACAATCCATGCAGTCGATCCTTCGGGCACCAAGACTACATACCCTTTTCTTCTCCATTTGCAATTTGCGAACACAACGGCGCGGCAAAAGGCCGCACAATTGCCGTCAACATGGTCTCATCACATCCATTAGCAATCACGAAGTACTTGAATGCCTCAGCATCTCAAATGAGCCGTGGATCCGTCCATTATCCGTTATATTCATCAAGGAACGTTCCGCAACAACGTGATCAACCAATGATGGACCTCCGAACCAGCAGAGCACAGATTGCTTCCGGGTCGGCGGTGTCCATCAGCGGGGCGTTGGCCAACGTCGTTGTCAAACAGTCCAACACACTCGGCGTGTGTGGGTAGATGGAGCAGGTTTGCTGGCAATTTCATACTTCTTCTGATAGTCGTTGTCAGCAAGATTTGACCCTGTAGCAGTGCTCATCGCCTTCTCGCCCAAGATCTCTCGCCTGATGTTGACTTTGGCCTCGTCAGCCAACCATGATACCTCTTGCCCCTCAATGCCGGGACGACGATGTCTTTCACCCTCAGGTACGAAAACAGATTGGGCTTGGCGTCTTCCCTATTTATCCAGACTGGTTACGGAGTATCACTCACGGAATAACTCTTGGCGACAAGCCGACGATGTGCTTCACCAGCTCCCCGCCTTCGTTTCAAACACCATTTCCAATCGCGCCAAGTTGTTACCCAGTTTGCCAGCCCGCATCCTGATGTTACATGGTGTCGTCCTACGTACAGTTCTTTGATATCCCCAGAGAACCGCGATTGGGGAAGGAATCGGCTCCGTTGGGTTTCAGGCCCTCAGTTTCGGTACCACTACTACGTACAGCAATCCCGGACCTGGCTCATCCCATCCATGATGTTAGACCTGGAGGTAGCACACCGCTTTTCGCGCAGCCTGCTGTTCGAATTTTCGTCATTGTTGGGGTCTTGCAAAGTTGCAAAGCATCTCAATTACTCAAGAGGTCCAACCTTACGGATACAGCTGTTAGTCACTTTTCTTCACTCGTTTATCAAAGCCGGACTGCAGCGGCAATGAGAACCAACATTCTGGCCCTGTTCCATCGTGGACGCAAGATCGGCATTTCTGTGGGGAAGGCGATCGAGTTAGCTATTCCATACTAGGCCAATACTGAAGCCCGACGAGTTGACGACCGCGGATAGGACTGCAACTAATACACCGTGGAACCTCGTCTGAGCGAATTTTCCCCTCAGAGCCCTACCAAGACTCTCTAACCTCGACAGGGAGTCCACGTCGATGAGAGCACATATGGAAACTCTCGGCACGCTCAATCATTTTGACAGCTCAGTTGCCTTAGCCAACGACCCAACGTCAACCTCCTCGTCGCCTCGGTCTCGATCAAGTCCAACCATGCATACGGCTCTCCATGGCCGCTACTGGGGCCGCCGGCAAGCATTTTGTTCCCCGAATTTTCATGAAGAGCACCTTGCGAGTTGCAACATTAGAATATTGCAACAGTCTACAGAGACCCTTTGGCCTAGAAGGTCAAAAGGTGGAATTGCAATCCACTGATGCGCTCGCTAAAAAGAACCCATGTTCGTTCTTCAACATCTTGTCAGCGTTGGAGTTTAACAACTGGCCCCAGTGCTACGCTGTAAACATCACCCAATTTGTTGATTGCAACGCTCTCATTCAATCCTAGCCTCTGAGGAGGGCTCCTTGCAGCCCAACTTGATTCAAACGCAGCACTCAGTTCGCGGAAGCATCCACCCAGCACGTTCTCAATCGTTCGATTATACGGATACAATCGATGGCTCGCCCAGCCCCCTCGCCCAATGGTCGATAGATGCAGGCATCATGTCCCGACTACAAGCTTTCAACATGGGACCCGCCAGCCCTCCCGTCAACCGCTCAAATTCCTAGAATTTTCACCGACGCGGGCGGGATGCCGCAGGGGACCGCGTAATCCTCGGCCTCTGCAGATGCGTTGTCCCTTGCGAAACTCGAGCATTTCCGCGCTGGTCGCCCATGGACACTCCTGGCCTACTCGTCCAATTTTGGACATTCAGATTGCCGATCACCTCCCTTCTCCTTGAGGACTTTGGACGGTTTGCTCAAGGGACGGACAACCTCGCGTCGCGTAAATCCAAGCAACGGGGATAGCACATGGCGTTACGGGATGCTCAAATGAGGAAACGTGGCAATCGCCAACTCCAACCATAGGGGCGTCACTGCACGTCCACAGTGTCATCGGTGAACCGTCAGCTATAATTGACATGTTTCCCAAGTACTCGGGTTCGCCGCACACATCCAGCCGGGCCGACCAGATCTACTGCTATCCAGTATGTTAGTCCAACAGCTGCGGCTGCTTCTGCAAGTCCCAGAGAGCCGTGCCCAAGGATCAGCACGGCCGTCTCTCATGCGGCCGGCCCTCCCACCTCCAAAAATCTCAACGCCGCCGCCCGCCCGGCAGCCCGTAGGCTTATTCTCCGAAGTTGCATTTCCCACCCGGGCGGGCCCCCCTTTCACAACAGCAGTCGGAGTCGCCGCACGTCATACGATTCCCGACCTCGCCGCAGCTCCAATGCAAAGACTAAGACTGCCTTTACACAAACGTGGCTGAGCGTCAACCTTGTGATAGAAATACCTAGCGGAAGACATGAATCTTTTCTTACTACATAACGCCATCTTTTCCAAACCGAAAAAGGGGGACTTTGCCTCCTGGAACATCCCTCACAACTCAATATCCCCCACGATCCGGGGAAGCCCGCGAGCCCTCGTCTTCAGCCAACATCCATGCGCCCGCCGTCAATGCCTTTCTCTCCCATCATTCTCTCTTTGGCCAAAGAAATAAAACCCATCAAACAGAGTTTCTCTGACAGGTGTCCCCGCGTTGCCCGCGCCCCCTTGTCCAGTGGCGACATGGCCTGACAAGTGAAAGTGGTCTTAGTCAACCTGATGCAGGCATACTTTTTTCCATCTTCTCTTGTGTTCAAGCCATACCCCGTTCCGTCCCATGTTCCCCCCTTTCCCCGATGACAGTGGCCGTGGATGCCACGGAGGAAATCTCCTCCGTATCTGGGCATCCGTGTCCGCGAGCCAACCAACCTTTGCCAGGTCGGCACGTCAGCGCAGGTCATCGCAATGCTCTGCTGCACACTCAGCCCTAACCAGACCTGACCTGACCTTACCTCATCCTCCCATCTCTTTCTGTCTTGAACGCAATGATACCCTTGACCCAGCCACGTCTCCATCAAGATGCCAGCTGCGCCCCTCCCCTGCCCTGCCTCATAAGAGAATGAAGAAACCTCGCGCCGGTCTCGGGCAAACACCCCCTTGTAAACCGGCCCGAGGAACTTGGCTCCGAGACTCGGGCATCCGGGCGAGAGCAAAGTCAGCATCAAGTCTGGGCTGTGCTGCATAATACTACTCAATGTCTCCGGAAGCAAAAAATGGCCGGGCCATAAAGACAGAGAGGCCACATAGCAGGTCGAGAGAAACGAGGTTTCATCAGAATAGAATAGAAAGTATGTTGGTACAGTACACAGCTTATGCCGAGCAGCTACAAAGAAGGCATACAAGAAAGGCTTCCAAAATGTAAAATACGCAGAACCCAAAAAAAGAAGAACCTCGCTTTCGCCTATAAGCTCGGCCCTCTGTATTCTTTCCGTTGCCCAGCCCCTTTAAGCAAACAATAGAAACTCCACTTTCACTTGTTTTTTTTGAGGCCCATGAGGTATTACCCATCAAACCACCCACACATCCCGACGCCGTTTTCCAACTCCTGCAGCGATACCGTATCTCGTAGTGGTACATCGACGTTCCTCGAGGTGCACCGGTACCTAGGCTCCGACGCTGCTTTCCCGCTGATGCTTCGCGATATAGTACGTGATGAGATTCTTCGGGTCGTCCTTGGCGCCTTTGATAAGTTCCCAGAACGGCGCATCACCAATCCGCGCGTGAAGAGCAACGCAGAGTTGCACAGCGCCCATGCGAACACCGGAGTCCGTTGACTCGAGACAGC